AATTATTGTTTACGTCCTGATACTTGACATCACAAATGTTCATCTCGGGCCGCGAGTTTGACACCCCTGGTCTAAAATGTCAAATTCTCGTGTTTCAAGTATTTATGGAAATGTCACTTCATACAGGAAAATAAGTCAAATGAAATATATCGAATATATGAAAAGGCATTTTACAGCAATTGAAAGTTAAAATATCGTCGGAGAACTGCATTTTCTATTTTTGGCAATATTGCAGCGCAGACGTTGCTATATACTTTCTCTATAAATTAGAAATCAGTATTGTGATAGGAGCAAACTGTAGAGGTTATAACGTCAACTCATGATACGAGTGTAAGAATAGCACATTTTAAAAGTAATTTTCAATTATTGAAATATTTGTATGTTACTCTTCGCTCTGTCAAAGATAGTATGGAAGCCAGTTTATTAGATCAATTAACACTGGAACTATCAGAGTACCCTGTTTTCCGATTACTGGTACCATAAATGTGCTTTCAGTATTTATTAACACATTAATGCACGTATTTATTATTCAGTATTTATTAACGCATATAATTCAATTTCGTGTTTAATCCCGGTTACGATAAGATTATTGCCGCGTATAAGACTTCATGCAAGCTGTCAAGAAATTGTACAAAGTTAAAACAATGACGATTTCGCAACCAGCTATGCACTAAAAAGTTAAACTGATGGTTTGAGGTAAAAATCGCTCGAAAAGTCCACTAAACACTTTCTCACGATTGTAATAAGATTTGAACATCTGCGCTATTTTGAAACGTTAGTAACCTTTTGCTCTTAAAAGTGTGAACACTTACGGAGGCATAATTCAAGACAGACAAAATTCTAAGAGTTATTTTATCGGTAAAATATCGACACTATGATACAGCAAAGTAAACGGGAAGTTACCGAATGTGATCACATTAATTTTATATTGCTCCATTTATTTGTAAAATCATCGGGAAAAATGAGTGCACTGCGTGGACGAAAAAAAAAATGAGAGAATGGTCTAGTCAAAAATCCAGAAGATGGGATCGAGAGCAGTGATCGAATCATTTTTTTTTTCATTAAGTCCTCCGGCCGCGTTCGCTCTCTAATTGTTTCTGAAGAGCGTTCCATGTTTTCCTTTGATAACGATGCTGTTTATCACACGCAATTGCGCCCGCCGCGTACGATCTAACACCAGATATTACCGTCCCGGAAGTCGCGCAGCTTTCTGCTGCTGGCTCAACGGCAATTGGTGTCCTTCATCACCCCTTGCAATTGTCTCGAGGATGCGAACGGATTTTCGCACGGTAATTGCGAATCGACCTGTCGCGTTAATGCGTCATATTCACGTCACGCATCTAGCGGTTCGCCGCTGTCTGATACTAAAGCGCGATCTTCTAGAGGCGTGGGAACACGTGTCATTGGGAACGACCTTCGACCTAACGAAAAAAAAAAAAAAAAAATCTAACGAACGACCAAGTAACGCGGTCGACTTATAAACATATTTACGTCAAGACTACGTTTTAATAATAACACGAGTGCGGTAGTTCCGTGTTAATGGCTACGTACGACGCGCAAGATATTATCTTCGGTAAAATTAACTTTCGATGACAGCGAAATTGATGCTTCTATTATTTTGCTTCTATTATTGGCAAGCATATGATAGATTTCCTTGTCTACAATCAAATTATTTGCGCTTACTTTCATTGTAGATTTGCAATCACCTAAAGCAGAATTTTCCATTTTCGTGAGTTCTTTTTGTATTTTACAGCTTTACAGAATAATCATCACGTTTTACAATAGAAAATAGAACGTACAAGTGGATAAGAAGAAATTTGCTTCGGTTGACATTGTGATTCACAGTAAATTTGAGAAAAAGGTTCCCTTTCCCTAATGAGAGTATAAAATATCATAGAGAGGTGGAAGAACAGGTGGCACACCGTTGTCACTAGTCAATAAAAATAGTTTTCATTTAACATTCGTGATAGAATTCTGATTTTATATTGATACAAACTGTACAACTACACTTCACAACAGAATGCATTTATGAAGTATTTTACTCTCTATAGCACGATAAAATAGAAGTTACAATCGAATTGAATAAAACTTGCATACCACTTCTAATATGTACAATTTTTTATGTCAAATAAGCAGGTAACAAACACTCGCAATCTGCAATGTTCACCGCCGTGTTTTTTTTTCATCAATAGAAAACGCATTGAAGGGAATTGAAAAACATCTAGTGAACGAGTTACTGAATTTTTAAACACTTAAAACATTGATTTCTGCAGCAAACCGTAGAAAAATTATGTGCAATGTCTAATATTAAAGAAGTGCACTTTTTGATACAAACAGAGTGAAAGCAAATAGTGTATATATTGTCCAAGGAAAGAAAACGCGTGTCTTTTTATCATTTCAAACGATATCCACAAATATTGTTCACAGCGACCATAACACCTTGTGCTTCATTAAGCATAAATGTTGCTCCGTTTTTAAAAGTTAGATTAATAGCTTGCCGTGTTCTCGTCAATACTTAAGCACTGAAAGTGAATCTAGGCAAACGATACATAATCATAAATCTTCTTTGCATTCTAAGGAATGATTTTTCATTAAGCATAAATGTTGTTCCGTTTTTGAAAGTTAGATTAACACGTTCCGTGCCGAGCTTTTTTTACTCGAATCTTCACACTTTGATATTTTACTAAAACTTGATGTATTACGTGCAATTATTAATTCTCGTACACATAACAACGTAACAAAAACTTATCAACGCCCATTCTTGCGGTGGAAATTGATTCTTCGGTTCGACATTTCTTGTAAACAATTTGTTCAGTTCACTAAGTAAACATGCAAGCGTGTACCATCGATGGTACACGTGGCACGGAACGTGTTAATAGC